AACAGACAAGGCTCCCAGCAGCCTCAGAGGAGCTGGGGGGGGGGGTGTCACTTTCAGCAGCTTGGTGGAGAAAGCAGTACTTAATAATCCTATCACGCTACTCTGTCCTCATGGAGCCGTTGTGACATCCTACATTTAAAAAAAAAAGTGACAACCTTCAATTGCTATGCATAACCCATGTCTGGCATCACACTGACTCCTGGCCCCAGAGCACCAGCATTTTTCTGGTGACAAGCGGCATACAGGGACCAGGGGACTGACGGCTTTGTGCGAAGTTGTCCTCATGGACCCCTCCATGCCCTCTGTAGCACAGTTGTTCTACCCGCCCGTTGGAGTGTTATTTTCATTAAATATTAAAGAGCTGTTTGTTAAAGTAATGTCGTCATGGTAACAGAGTTGGGTGGGTGGGGGATGCTGGAACAGCCTCGTGCTGCCCAAATTGCAGCATATTAATCAAGTGCTTTGCACTATGCAGTGAACATCCCTTTGAGTTATCTGGTGATAATGACTCTAGAGGATCCAGGAACTTTGAGTTTGCAGTTGCCAGTGCAAAAGATACAGGCTCTCAGGAGGTCCTGGGGCTGAGTTGTGCTTGTTGGATGGATGGATGGATGGACGGACGGACAAATAAATGAATGCTGGAATATGAACGCTAGCTGTATATGTCAGAGCTGCTTCCGACAGATCTGTTTTTCATTTGCCCTTTTACAGTGGGAAGGTGTTTTGCCAGAAAGTTGGAGGAAAAGAGCCAGGAAAGTAAATCAAGGGGTGGGAAGCATGACTTCTTTTCCACACAGGGAGAGCTAGTGGCAGCAACACAGAGGCAAAGTAAAGAAGCTTAGGGCCAGGCTGCAGGGGTCAAATCCTAGCCCTGTGTACTGCAAGGAGGGAGCTGCTCCCCCGAGTCAGAGGACCACAGCTGTGCTGGCTTCATGTCTGAGGACAGGCGAGAGATTACAGATAATGCCCTTCAAATCCCAACCACCCAATTTACTGCTGCTGGCCCGCTACTGCTATGGGCAGCACAGCTCTGGCTGCAAAGGTCACTGAAGATAAAGCTGAAGGTCGATTTCATGGTGCATTCATAGATGAAAGAGCCCAGGGGTCCTGGTTACTGCCCAGGCTTTTTCTGAGGTTGGTATGTTCTTCTTGGAAGGGGCCAGATGGTGGTTATACACCATTCTCTGGTATTCGAGGGTATCCACCAAACAGTCATTTACTAGGGTGGAGTGTTGACAGGGAAGGACTTTTAAGAGGTGTAGATTAGCATCTGCTTTGATACCCTGCTGGGTACAGTCTTTCAGAGGCCCTCTGTGGTAGGCTCCTGTCTGGTTCCCTATCTTTTCCTGCTTCTGATGTCTATCCTGTTTGCCCTTCTGAATGAGGATTAAGCATCTTCCCTAGGGTCCTCCTTGTTGTTTAGCTTCTTTAGGACTATAGGTTTTAGTATGTTTATCTTATATTATATGGCTAATATTTACTTATAAGTGAGCATATACCATGTGTGTCTTTCTGCTTCTGGGTTACCTCACTCAGATGCTGAGACTCACAGCCAGGGCAGAGTGCAGCAAATCTTATGGAAGAAGGGGAGATGGAAAGACCTGGAGGGGACAGAAGCTCAACAAGGAGGCCAACAGAGCCAAAAAAAAAAATCTGGTCCCAGGCAGGCCTACAGAGACTGATGAATCAACAAAGGGCCATGCATGGAGAGGAGCTAGATGCTCTGCTCAGATGGAGACCAGGGGCAGCTCAGTCTCCATGGGGATTTTGCAGTAAGGGGAACAGGGGCAGTCTCTGGCATGAACTCTCAGTTGCCTGCTCTTTGAGCACCTCCCTCTGGTGAGGTTTCCTGACTAGGTCGCAGAGAAAGAGGATTCAGACAGTCCTGATGAGACCTGGTAGGCTACGGTCTGATAGTAGGGGAGGAGAACCTCCCCTATCAGTGGACCAAGGGAGGGACATGGGGGGGGAGAGGAAGGGAGGGTGGGACCAGGAAGAGATGAGGGAGGGGTCTACAGATGGGATACAAGTGAATAAATTGTAATACTACTACTACTAATACTAATAGGTGTAGCTTAATGGAAGGTGATTAGATCATTGGGAGTGCCGCCCTTTGGAGAGATTAATGAGGTTCTCTCAGGGCCTCTAAAGTTCTAGCAAGGTGACATGATAAGAGTAAACCTGACTCTTTTGTCTCTCTCTTCTGTTTTGCCATATGTCTCTTCCACACATGCTTCTGCCACCCACCACGAGACAAAATGGGTTAGGGAGCTTGATCTTGGACTTCTAGTATCTAAAACTGTGAGCTAAACAAACCTCTTTTCTTTATACACTATCCAGACTCAGTTTTTTTTTTTTTTTTTTTTTTTTTTTAAAAATGGAAAAATAAAAAATTTTTTTTTTTTATTCAATTATCCTTTTTTTTTTTTTTTTTTTTTTTTTTTTTGTTATAGCAACTGAAAATGGACTAATACACGATTTCCATAGAATAATCATTTTTTACAATGCTGGTCTCTGCCATACTGCCTTAGGAGGAAATACAGGAGAAAGGAAAGCAAAGTAAAAGGAGATCTTTATACCTAAAAAAAGTGGGTTGAGCGTATCCAGAGAGAGAGAGAGGACGGGGGAGAGGGAGAGAGAGAGAGAGAGACAGAGAGAGAGAGAGACAAGAGAGAGAGGGAGAAGAGAGGAGAGAAACAGAGAGAGAGGAGCCAGAGAGGAGGGAGAAGATCCTCTCAAAGACCCTTAAATGCCCAGCCCTCAAAGAGAGACTAATTTCTGCCCTTTGAGTGCCTCCTCTGTCATTTTCTTTGTGTGGCCCCTCCTCTCACCCCTATTAAAGCCTTTACTGGATGATTCTGTCTGAGATTTCCTTAGCTGTTACCTGATGCACTCAAGGTATTCCCCCTGCCTTTTAATTCTTTAACCGGCAGAGAAAATGAACCCAATCAAGACTCCTGGATGGTAATAGGGAGTGGGATTTGGACAGTGAGCCTCACCATGCTCCCTTGGGCCTGCAGCTGGTAACTGACTTTGGAGCAGGATCAGAGACAGGAAGGACCATAGAAGAAGCCAGCGAGAAAGATGAACACCCAGCGGACCACTCACAGCTTCTCCATGTTGGAGACTGAACGAAAAGCAAGCGACCACATCCTGGTTCCATCATGCAGCTACGGCAGAGCTGCTGACTACAGCTCCTGCTTTACCTCTGGCCCACACGACCCCCTGAATGAGGTGACGGTGATGAGATCCTGCTCTGTCCTGGCACAGGGACAGGCATCTTTATACCACTGAGTCCTTATGACCACATGGTAAGGTTGATCCCTGCTCTCCATCTATCAGATGAAGAGACTGAGGCACTGAGAGGCCAGCAACTTGCCCAAGGCCAGAAGGCTAGTGGAGATTCAGAGTTTGAGCCTGGCAGTCTACACTAGGGCCCCTGCCTCTCAGCACAGACACTCTTTCCTTAAATTCCCTCTTTACCACTCTAATTGATCACCATTTTCTGAGTACCTACTATGTGTCAGGGCCTGGCATGCAAGGACACGGTTGTCCTCACGGTTCAGCTTAAAGACTCTTAAGGATGTTATGGGCCATGACTCGTAGTCACTGCTCAGCCTTCTCCCTTTGCTTTCCCTTTCCTTCCTCTCCCCTTTCTGCCTTCAGCTAGTCCAGGACTCAGATGAACACATAGTCAACCACCTGTCAAACTTTCTTTTCATCCAGGCCAGCAGTTTCCACGATGAGCTCCACCCCTGGGCCCCACGGCGCTTTGCCCTCTAGGGAATGCACCCCAACACTACCCTGAGGGCACAGCAATGGGCCACTCGCAGTCTGCCCCGCACCTTGGATCTCACTCCTGCCTGATGTCCTCATTTGGGTCTGCAGCCCAGCTTTTCTCCTTTCCATCAGGTAGGGGTTTGGTCACCTGAGTGTGAGGGATAAGTCTTGCCCCTGCCAAAGGACCCGTGATTCTGGGTAATGCCCACTTCACATCTCTGGCATCTACCTGCTTGGGCCTAACCCACTTATGCCTCCTGTGGGGTCTGGGAACCGGACAGTAGGTGTCCTTCCAGCCCCTTTACATGCTTCTAAGCCTTTCTTTCCACTGTGCAGTCAGGATCGTAGGCTAAATTCTCTGATGGTGGGCCCGGCAGGAGGTTCTTTGGGTGGCTCTGCTATGGCAGGGCGCTGCTGAGATATCCTCCAGAAAGCCTTCCACCAAGCTATCATGTGCACCAGGTGTTTGGGATCACAGATGTGCACGTGGGCTGCCCGACATCAGCTGGTGACACTGGGGCACAGGAGAGGTCCAAGGTCCTCTCGCTCAGTAGCCTCTGCAAGGGCCACCCGAAGTGCTGAGTTGATGCTGATGCCCTCCTCCAGTCTTCTCCTCAGCCCTCCCCCTCTTCCTACATCCTGCCCCTGAGAGGTTCTAGATTATAACAGAAAGAGGGTGAAAAACACTGCTTCTCACTTGAGTATTTTCCATGGACGTTTGTCCCGCCTCTCCTTGAATTCTGCCACTGACAGGAACTCACTGTTGGCCTAAGTTTTTTTCACTGCATTTGTGTATATCTCGTCAGGGAGTTTTGATTAGGCCAAGGCATCAACAGCATAAAACCTCCCTCCCCTCATGACCCTGCTCTTACCAGAGCTTACCAGGGCTGTACAAGGGTGGCTTTGCCTACTGGCTAAGCCAGGCTGTACACTCTCTGAACACGACTCTAAAAACATGCCCCTGGCCTGGAAGTCTGAGTTGCTATCATATGTGCAGAGAGGGGAGAGTCAGCCACCTGCAGGCTCCCGGCTTCTAGGGAAGCCCTGGCACGAAGCCAGCAGATTCTCAGAGGCTTACACCTGGAAGCTCGGCTCTGCACCTTGTCCAGGTGCCCATGGCTGGAAACATAGTTTCGGGGTGGCTTTTCTCATGCAGCTCCTACCTTTCTTGACATCAACCTGGGCCATGTGTGACCATGGCCAAATACAGTATCACTTACCAGTGTCTGTTGCATGTTGCTTACATCCTGGGAATCTTGCAGTGGGAGTCCCAGAGCAGCCAGTGCATGGAGGCCTGCAAAGAAGAGGAACTGGTGAGAAGCAGGGCAGAAGCAACTGGGTACCTGTTCTTTCCCAGCACGACTGAGCCACTGGGAAACTGGGATGGAGGTGGGAGGGTAAAAAAAAAATGAACCCCTATAAGGACCCAGGTGCTCATCAAAGCAACTTCACAATCTCTAGGCTTTGTGACAATTCTGAGCCAGAGAAAGAAGAGGGGGGAAAAAAGCCCCCAACCCTGGATGAGTCATCAGTTTGTGGCAAAGAAGAGTTTTTTGGAGAGTGAAACAAAAGGCAGATGGATTGGGTGTGGAAGAGGTATGGGCTTCTCTAACTTCACCCAGGGTCCTCACTGCCTGTGACCAGCAGTGGGGTGTACAGGGCCTCTTCATGGTACCAGCAAAGGGCGGGGGAGGAGCTCAGTGCTCTGACCTCAAGCAGAGAAGATAATGCAGTCCTTAAAGCAAAAGGCCCCAAAGCGTATGGAGAGACTCCTGCCAAACACACCCTTTGTGCTTTGAAAGTTCCCTTTGGAGAGCCGTAGCTGGCAGAACAGGGCGTGTGCCCAGCGCTGCCGACGTGTTCCCAGCACAGTGAGCTGAGGCCTGTGCCCTAGGGCTTTGCAGCCAGCTAGTAGGGTACCTTGTGAGCACAAGTGAGGCTGCTTATGGCTGTGGTCTAGGACCCTCAAAACCAAATGTCTTTGTTTGTTTGTTTTTTTCTTGTTTCCCTATGAATGCTCAGGTGAACTGCAGTCTCTGTTCTCACAGGGACACCTTTTGACCCTGGTGAAGAGAATTATTGGGTTTGCAGTCAGTGTTTACCGAGCCTTTACCACACTCCCTGCGCTTGCTTCTGACACATTTGAGTAGGATTCTTGCTGCTGGGAAGTGTTCCTTTGAATAGCAAAGAGCGAAATCACACCACATGAGCCTTGCTGGGAAGACAGGCTCAGAGCAGTGGATTCAGAACCTGCATTTTAACGAGAGTCACAGGTGACTACTGGGCACAAGCTGCAAACTGTGCTTTCTTGTTCTCTCAGTCATGGAAAGAAGCGTCTGACCGTCTCCAGTGAGGAAATGGGCCGGTGAGGCTGCCCACTGGCTGCATGGCAAGTGAGCTCGTGAGGGGTAGATGGATCCAAGCTATTTCCATTTCTTTCTGAGAACTGCATTCCTTTCTACCACAGTATCTGCAGGGAAAGTCAAGCACAAGTGTGAGGGCCAGGCAGGCCACACGTAGTTGTGAGTGATCTCAGGCCAGGAATGGTACTGCAGAACTCTCTGAGATTGGGGGGGGGGGGGGGGGGCATGAATATAGAGGGAGAAATCCCCTTCTCAGGTATGTCAAAATTCCCAGGTCTTGGACTATTCCCCTCAGGGGAACAAAAAAGTCTGCGTGGAATCACAGTGTCTAATTGATTCTGATTCCAAGGAATTTAGATCTCTCACCTCTTGCCTGCAGAATGAGCTATCTAGGAGAAGAGCCCTCCCCTCCCCCAAGGAGACCAGGCAGTGACACTGGGAAGTGCTATTTTAAGCAAGTGAGGGTTGCTCTTCTGTGATTCCAAGTCTAGGTATATGACCAGAGGCATCTAGCAAGCCATTGTGGGGGAAGGGAGGTCACACACAGTTTATTTATTCTCTGCTCCTATAGCACATCCTGACTGCAGCCTCCACTCCTCACACTCCTCTTAGTCCCCTGGCACATACCTCCTCTCTCCCCCAAATCCACTGCTCCTCTGTTTCCCTCCAGAAAAAAGCAGGCTTCTTAGGGATAACAACTGAATAAAGCATAATAAGATGCTGTAAGACTAGACACAAATCCTCATATCAAGGCTGGACGAGGCAACCCAGCAAGAGGAAAAGGATCCCAAGAGCAGGCAAAAGAGTCAGACACCTCCCATCCCCACTGTTAGAGTCCCACAAGAACATCAAGCTAAACAACGGAAGCATATATGCAGAGGACCTAGCAAAGAGCAATGCAGACTTCATGACTGCTGCTTTAGTTCTGTGAGCCCCTATGAGCCCTGCTTACTAAATTCTGTGGGTCATGTTATTGCAGTGTCCTCGACTCCTTTGGCTCCTACAACCCTACTCTCCCTCTTCTGTGGGGTTCTGTGAGGAAAGGAATGGGGGAAGAGATGTTCCACATAGTTTTTTTTAAAGTTCTTGATTAGTGACATCATAGTCCATGTTTTTATTCCAGACTCATTATAAGAGGGATTCTCACGGGATTCATGGATGAAGGCAAAGATAGCCCACAATCCACACAGGGTTCACAACTGTTACCTTCTCATTATCAAGTAGTCAGTTGGCATCCTTGATTTAAAGTTAGGCACACCATCCATGAGGGACTGGTTTCAGGACCCTCCCTGGGTATTAACATCTTCCTCTAAGGCACACAGGCAGCCACATTGTACTGGCTGGTTTTATATGTCAACTCTACACAAGCTGGAGTCATCAGAGAGGAAGAAGCCTCAGTTGAGGAAAAGCCTTCATGTCATCCAACTGTAAGGCATTTTCCTAATTAGTGATAAATGGAGGAGGGCCCAATCCATGGTGGGTGATGCCATCCCTGGGATGGAGATCCTGGGTTCTATATGAAAGCAAGCTGAGCAAGCCATGGGAAGCAAGCCAGTAAGCAGCACCCCTCCATGGCCTCTGCATCAGCTCCTTCCTCCAGGTTTCTGACCTTCCCCAGTCCCAATCCTTCTCTAACCACCTTCCCTCAACTTCTACCTTTTATAGAAAATTGAGAATTCTATACCTACATATAATATGTTTTGATCAAGCCCATCCCTCATTCCTTTCCTTCAATACCTCCTGCCCTACCCCTACTATTACTTTTCTTCACCCAACTTCATGTGCCTTTTCTTTTTTTTTTTTTAAGTCACTGAGTGCACTTACTACTGGTGCATGAGAAGGGGACCATCTATTGGATTATGGGTCACTTCTTAAGGTCCTGCATCCCTGAAGAACACTGGCTTTTCCCCAGCAGCCAACAGTTGCCCTTATCTCCATAGACGTGAGCTTGTCCCCCATCCATGCTAAGATTCTAGCTGGTTTTATCTTATGCTGGTCTTGTGCATGAGGTCATGGACACTGTGAGTTCACATGCGCAACGGTAATGTCGTGACTGCAAATACTATTTTTGCTGCAGACTTCTACTCCCTCTGGTTTTTCCTCATTCTGCCCCATCTTCCAAGATGAGGTGTGTGACACGGATGTCCCACTTTGAGCAGTGTGTAGTGGCTCATGCTTGTAATAGCACTTGGAAGGGTGAGCTGGGAAGACCACTGTGTGTTTGAGACTAGCCTGGGCTACACAGTAGTAGATCTCGTCTCAAAAACCGAAACACACATATTCACGGAGAATGAAGTCATTCTACACACACCATCCTTTTTGTTTTCAAAACATCATCTTTTGGTGATTCAGGTTATAGTTACTGTTGTATTTCTTCTTTGTTTTAAATTTAATTTTATATTTTTAAAGATTTGTTGATTTTATGTATATGAGTGCTCTGTTTTCATGCACACCAGAAGAGGGCATCAGATCCCATTACAGATGGTTGTGAGCGACCATGTGGTTGCTGGGAATTGAACTCAGGACCTCTGGAAGAGCAGCCAGTGCTCTTAACCACTGAGCCATCTCTTCAGCCCCCCTGCTGTTCATTTTAAAATGTATCATCTCCATATTAACTGCTGCTTACTGGAGCTATGTTATTCTCACCTGAGCTATGGTTCACTGTAGACTGGCATGTGTTGTGAGTGGTGATGTCCTCCACAGCTCCAGGTTTCTAGGTTTTGAGAATGCAGGATGCCCTCTAATGTACACCTCATTTTATTGATATATAGAACTGCCTGCACTGTGGAAGTTACGCTATCGGCACTAATACATACATATGACTTAAATATGTAGTTCATGGTGCTATTAAATACGGAACATGCAAGGTTAAATGCTGAACATTTTACTCGGCCAGTGAACATTTTGGATACCTGTATATACCTGATTCCACACTCAGCCTCAGATAGACACCAGTAACATAAAAATTAAAAAATTATTTTTTTCTTAAAAAATAGTTTGTGTGTGTGCGTGCGTGTGCGTGTGTCTGTCTATTGTCTGTGAGTAAATGCCACCTAACATGGGTGCTGGGAACTGAACTCTTATGGAAGAGAAGCAAGAACTCTTAATAGCTAAGTCGCCTCTCCAGCCAACCCTAGTTCCTACTGTTAAGAAATAGTATAAAAGGGGAGAAAGACAAACAATGGACGGTGAGAAAGTCCCAGCATGTTGAGGTAGTACAAGGTGGGAACAGCCCTAAGACTCCTCCAGGAGTCACACTCCTACCGTGGGCACCTGCCCTCTTCTCCTCACCCTGGCTTGTCACACTGTGTTCTGGCCCACTGATGCCCTATGCTCTGGGCAGCCCTATGGCTTGCCTGACCTAGGCCACTCTCTTGACCATTCTGCCCTCCTTCTACCCTAATTACGACCATCTCACCCTGAAGTCCGATGGGGGTATTGCGCAGAGCTGCGTAAGCAATGTGTTTTCTCCCCTTGTTATCGACAGTACCTGTTGTTATTTGCAATCGAGTAGGCAGCCACTTGAGCGCGGAGTAGCACGGTGATTCAGTTGGACCCCTGCTGGCAGGGACTCTCAGAGCTGGAGAGGCCCACAGAGTCAGTTCTGTGCTCCGGTTTATCCAAGAACACAGCTCTCCCTCATCCTTCTGGAGCAGTGGCTCTCAGCCTTCCTAATGCTGTGGCCCTTTAATACAGCTCCTCATGTTCTGATGACCACCCCCCCCCCAACCACAAAACTGTTTTTGTTGCTACTTCATAACTATAATTTTGCTACTGTTATGGGTTGTAATGTAAATATTACATTTTTGGAGATCAAGGTTTGCCAAAGGGGTTGCAACCCTTTGGCAGAAAGGGTTTTCTACCCCTTTGGTAGAAAACTGCTGTTCTAGTTAGTTAGACATTGGCGCTGACCAGCAAGGCAAATTGGTTC